GGTTGTGTCATCTGCATAACGCAGATTGTTGATAGATCTTCCACCAATCCTAACACCACACTTCTCCTCATAGAGCCCAGCCTCTCGGATAATCTCAGATAATTTAGGAAGCCTAAATTTTCTGGGAGGGAGCAGCTCCAGTCAATTTGATGTTGAGGAACCACAGATAATGCTACAAACATGGTTAAGGCAGAGTTGTTTAGTAAATGGATGAGGGTGATACCTACCAATGCACAGCAAAATCAAGAAATTATTAAATAATTATGATACATACATATCCCGCATTATCACACACACATTAAAATTGTAGTTTTTGGGAAATTGTAATGTTCAAAAGTGCTAATAGTATAATGCTAAGAGAAAACATTTGGATAACATAATATGCACAGAAGGAGGAAAATGCTCAAAAATGTTAATAGCAGCTGTAAAAAATAGTAATATTAAAACATCTCTAGCATTTTTATACCTGAAATGCTAGCTAAGTATTTTGCATTTGTTATTTTACGTAATTCTACCCGCATCTTATAGAAGAAACTGAGATGCAAAAGGAAGCCAGATTCAAATCCAAGTCCACCTGAAGCCAAAGTCCATGTTCTTAAGATGATATTGACTTTCTTGATGTTGGATTTATAAAGGATTTTCCTGAATCTTTTTAGTTCTTTACACAAAATCATTACTTATAAAATCAGAGGGAAACGAGTTTTTAAAAAGAATAATAAAAATATATATACAGCATATAAAGATATCGAGCAAAAAGCATACGCTCAGGTAGAAGAAAGCTCATAAGGAATGGTTTGAGGGAAGGAACCCTGCCTTTTAATCCTGTGGTTCTTACTTGGGGAAAAGGGGAAGATATTTCACAACACAGGGCTTAACACATAGTAGGAACTGTTAGACAAAGGCCGAGAAACCAGTGAGCAGAAGACGGAACTAGGGAAGATGTTGCCCCTAGGAGGGTCGAGGTCCTTGGAAGCTTCTATGAGGGAGCCCAGGAGAATTGAAATGAAATGCAGATAGTGCTCGCGAAACAATTTTGTGGCTGGAATTCGCAGGAGGAAAGTGACAGCCTCCAGATTCCTGCCATTGTCATTCTGGAGGGTGAAGGGAGTCCTCGGTAGTCAGGGTGGGTCAGGCGGCTCCGAGCACTTCTCTAGGCTTTTTCTGGTTGTCTTTCCTAACAAAGGTGGCGCCGGCCCCGCCCCTCCTCCAACTTCCTGGGCGCTGGCCGTGGTGCTGAAACATTCCTTCGCGGAGGAGGAGGGAGGCGGGCCCAGGCTCGGTGAAAGGGGCGGAGCTTCCCGAGCGCTGAGCTGGAAATGGGGCGGGGCGGCGCAAGCCGGCCTGAGACCTTGGCGGGCCTTAGAGGAGGCAGAGGACCCGAGACTAGAGTAGATCCAGGGACCTGGACAAGCTTCACATTGAAAAGGTCAAGGTTGTCATCCCTGCCCTACCAAATCGCCTTTCCTCTACTTCCGAAGGACCTTCACCTCTTGTCCTGACCTCAGGCTCTTTCCCAAACCCAGCAGAAAAGGGGCCTACTGGGCCTCCATCCGTAAAGTTAACAGCTTCCCGGTCTTAGTTCTGCAGCCCAGGACCCTGCTGCCTTCACAATGGTGAAGTTACTTCCCGCCCAAGAGGCAGCCAAGATCTATCACACCAATTATGTGCGGAACTCGCGGGCCATCGGTGTGATGTGGGGCACGCTTACCATCTGCTTTTCTGTGCTGGTCATGGCTCTCTTCATCCAACCCTACTGGATCGGTGACAGCGTCAACACACCCCAGGCGGGGTACTTTGGCCTATTCTCCTACTGCGTGGGCAACGTCCTGTCCTCTGAGCTCATCTGCAAGGGGGGCCCCCTCGACTTCTCTTCCATCCCCTCCAGAGCCTTCAAGACTGCCATGTTCTTTGTGGCCTTGGCCATGTTCCTCATCATTGGCTCCATCATCTGCTTCAGTCTGTTCTTCGTGTGCAACACAGCCACCGTATACAAGATCTGCGCATGGATGCAGCTGGCTGCGGGTAAGTGAGGATGTTGGGAGGGCTAGCGAGGACAGCAGGTCTCAAGAAACAAAGGTGTTCTGAAGATATTTTACTGAGTCACAAAATACTGAAGAGCAACGATGTAAGTCTGGAGACAAAGGTGCACCTGATTCAGGCCATAGTGTTTTCAATTACTTGCTTTGCATCAGAGAGCTGGACAATGACTAGGGATGATAGAAGGAGAATTAATGCCTTTGAGCTGTAGTGCTGGAGAAGAGTATTGAATAGACCATGGACTGCTAGGAGAACAAACAGGTTCGCCCTAGAGAGGGTGAGACCAGGCTGCTTCTTGGAGGCAAGGATTCTGAAGCTTCATTTGACATACTTTGGACATCTTTGCAAGGAGGGGCCAGTCATTAGAGAGGGACGTTATGCTTGGGAGGGTAGAGGGACAACAAAAGAGATGAAGACCTTCGATTAGATGTATTGATTCAGTGACTGGTGTAATGGGGTATGTGTGTCAGAGATAATAAGGTTGGCACCAGATAGAGCAGGGTTTAGGGCTGTTGTACATAGGGTCACTATGAGTTGCAGGCGACTCAACAGCATATAACAACAACAAACAACATGTTTATGTAGGTGTAACACTTTACAAAGTACTTTCATAGCTATTATCTGAAAAAGCCTCACTACTAGTGAAGTGGATAGTTCTTCCATTTTATAGCAAAGGTTCTTAGCAGGAAACTTGACTTTGAGTATATAAAGAAAGTACATTTGAGAGAAAATACAGACTCTTTCATTCCAGATTTGTATGCAGGCTGCTTGCCTCACTTAACACTTCAGCAATGCCCTCTCCCCACTCCTGTTTTACTTTCCTCTGTAGGATAAGGGAGCAGGAATGAGACAAGTCTTTGTGTGGGCAGTATGGAGAAAGAGAGAGAGAGAGAGAGAGAGAGAGAGAGAGAGAGAGAGAGAGAGAGAGAGAGTGTGTGCGCTTGTCACTGTGTTAAGGAAGAAAGGAAAAGGAGAATTTTGTATCTTTGCATCAAAATGAAATAGAATGAACTCTAGTACATCATATCAGGGTCATGGGTTACTGGATACTCAATCATCCCTTGTACTGTCTCATTGATTGCCTCATTGATGTAACTGTTCTTGAGAGAATTAACCATCACTGGCCCATTGGATCTTAAGTATGGTTGCACTTTCAAAATAAATACCCCTGGAGATTCTGATCCAGTTACTATGTCTAGATAGGTCCTAGGCTATTTGAATGAACGACTATATCACTTGCTTATCTTTGAGATTGGTGAGGCAAACCTTGAGTAGTCATGAAAGATGAGATTCTGAAGAGGAATCGCATTGAGGCAGGAACGGCATCTCAGAAAATAGAACATGATTCTGATTTTGCCAAGTGAAGGACAAATGTGCCAGTGCCATCTGTTGAATGTGACATGAAAATATGAATCCATGTAGCTGAAGAATGAGTGTGAAATCAGGATCTTGGAAATATCAGGAGTAGGGTGTATGTGTTTATGAGAAAGAAGGAAGTCAAGACGTCCTTGGAAACAGACATTATGTTTGAAAAAGTAGAGTGACAGTGAAGAGAGGGAGATCCTCAACAAGATAAATTGACAGTAACTGCAACAATGAACTTGAGCATTTGTGAGGGTGACAAAGATTGTGAGGGTGGTGAAGGATAGTGCATGGTTTCTATCTATTGTTCATAAGGTCTCTAAGTCATAGTCAGCTGGATGGCACGTAACAGCAACAACAACATGGGGTTTTTTAGCAATAACAACTTCTATTGTGATCTATATTGTGAGGAATGACTTTTCCCCTTGTGTACTCATTGTATCTCCAGCACAGTGCCTGCCACATGGAAGGGACTTGGTCATTATAATGAGGAGGAGGAGGAGGAAGAGGAGGAGGAGGATATGGGCTGAAATCAAGTCATTGTAAGGCAAGATGAGGGATTTGAACTTGGTTTTCCAAACAACTGATGCTCTTTGGCTGGGACTGTGCTCTAGAAAGGACTTGAATAGTGAACAAGAGGGCATGAGGAAAGGCTGAGCAAAGCATTTTGAGGTGAGCAAAACAGTCAGAGGCTTACTGGATAGAGTGTAAGGAGACTGTGGTCTGAGGACCTGTGGAGGTCAGAACTCGAAGGCACAACAAGGGTTGATGGTGTAGGAGTTGGGGGATAATGAGGCGAGGAATCTATATCATCCTCCGCTCACCTACCCATTCAGGTGCCAGTTGCTGAGCAAGCATTACAGAGAGGGCCTCAGCAGGGGAGGGCAAACAGGCCACATGAGTGAGGTTCCATCTGGGTCATTGGCAGGAGACAGTGATAGCAGAGGTGGCCAGGCACCAGGCTATGAAACATTAATGTTGGGAGAGAGGGGAGGTGGAATTATGTTCCATTCTGTGTGCAGGAGAAGGAAAGATGAGCCAAAGGGAGAGACGAGGAGGTGGTGTGCCCACAGCCAGCAGGTGGGAGATATTTGCAGAGGCCTAAACACAGGAAGGTTCACCTTGCCAAGAAGCCGGGCCAGGGAAAGGAAGGAAGAAGGGAAAGTGGGCTGATGCCTGGGGCAGTGTGTGTGAGTCGGGGGAGGAGCTACAGCGTAGCAACAAAGCCTTGCTAACCTCATGTGTAGAATATGGCAGCAGTACTCCCTTTCTCAGGGTTCATGAGAGTATGATATAATACATGAAAAGCATCAGATACGATGCCTGGCAATAAGTAGGTGCTCAGTAAATGAGAAAAACACAAAAATCAACTTCATCAGTCATTATCAAAAAGGAAGGGAGATATCATAGTAGCAAATACCCCCAAATCTCAGTAACTTGAAACAAAGCCTTATTTTTTGCTCACAAAACATGCTTAGTGAAAGTCAGCGCTGTTCTCTAGTGAGACCTGGGCCACAGGGTATGAGGGATGTGGGTTATACCACGTGACACTGCTAGAAAGGGTGAACCAAAATGATTGTTTATATTGGTGCGATACTTCAACAGAAATTGATTGGATTTTATAAAAATTCTCCATGTAGTTATGTTGTTGTTGTTATGTGATGTCGAGTCACCTGCCATTTGTAGCAACCCTATGTACAACAGCTCTGAAGCCTGCCCTTCCCTGAGCCAATCTCACTAATTCTGACACACCTACTACCCCCACTGCTCTGGTTACGTATCGATCCATTTCATCCAGGGTCTTCCTCTTCTGCGCCATCCCTCCACCTTTGCAATACGATGTCCTTCTCCAAGGACTGGTCCCTCCTGGCCATGTGTCTAAAGTATGTGAGCTGGAGCTTCAAAATCTTTGCCACCAAAGAGAAACTTGATTTCACCCTCTCCAAGGCAGATCTGTTTGTGTTCTTGATGGCCGATGGTTTATTCAATGCTCTTCTCCAGCTCCACAACTCAAAGGCATTGATTCTTCTTCTGTTATCCTTAGTCATTGTCCAGCTCTCTGATGCAGTTCTAACAACGTTTCTTTTCCCCCTAAGTCCAGCTTGCATGTATCAATGTACCAAGGTTATGAAACTCTACACTACATTACCTTTAGAATGGTTCAGTGAGAGCTGTCATTATTACCAAATTACAATGATGGTTCAAATTCACCTGGTTTCATTTACACTTTCTTTAAGCATGTGCTATTATTTTTTATGCTGATGTTGTTGTATACCATCGAGTTGGAACCAACTCATAGCTGACCTTCTGGTGGGTTTTCAGAAGCAGTTCATTGCATGGGAGGAGATTGCCCATCCTTCTCCCGTAGATCAGCTGGTGGATTCGAACCACATGCCTTCAGGATGGCAGCACAGCTTCTTGCTCCCTTTGTTGCTGTTAATGTCACTAACTTTATAGTTGTTAATTTTGTTAGATTTTCTGTGTTTTTCACTTAAAAACTGTGGTAATTCCTATTTATGAACCTATGCCAATCGCTTTTTAGAGAATGGAGTAGTAATTAAAAGAAAGAAGAATATGTTAAAAGCTTCCCTTCGAAAACTAATAATGTTGCAGTTCAATGTTCAATGTAGAAAGATTTTACGAAACAATTTTGTTTAGTATTCCTATAATCTAAGCAATATAACACTTAAGCAGTTTCCAGTTATATTTATCATATATTGCTCAATGATTAAAGTTTATAATAAGCATTGCTAAGGATTCTGAATGGTTTGGTATGGAAAGAAGTCTGTGTATGTGGGGTGGGCTTGGGAGAGGTGGCACCACCTCTAGTGATGCCACTGCTGGAACAGCCACCATCTGTTTGCTGTCATTACAGGGATGAACAGAGAGCTCTGGTAGGTCTTATTCCAGTAATTTACTGTTCTAGCCTGGAAGAGTTCATTCTGTGTGCAGGAGAAGGAAAGGTGAGCCAAAGGGAGAGACGAGGAGGTGGTGTGCCCACAGCCAGCAGGTGGGAGATGAATATATTTGCATGATGAATTCATTTGCTGGAGGAAGTATATAGGCATACATAATTTCAAGTGTGGGGAGAAGGAAGATAAGGAAGTACAATTCTACTATGTCCACAGAATATTTTAAACATGATTATCCACCCAGGTTGTTCCATTAGACTTCTATGCCAGTAATAATGTTGTTGTTGGTAGGTGCCATCAAGTCCAGTACAATTTATCGTGTCCTTATGAACAACAGATGTAAACCCTTTCCTGTCCTGTGCCATCCTCATCCATTCTGACCTAACTGAGCCCTTTGCTGTAGTCGCTATGTCATCCCCTCTCACTGAAGGTCTTCCTCTCCTTCATTTACCCTCCACTTTTTCAGGTATGATGTTCCTTTCCAAGGAACAGTCCCTCCTAACAACATGTCCAAAGTATATGAAACGAAGCTTCATCATACTTGTCTCCAAAAAGCATTTCAGCTGCACTTTCTCTAGGATCTACATATCTGTTTGTTCTTTTGGCAAAGTCTATGGGATATTCAGTAGTCTCCTCCAACATCATGACTCTTCTTCTATCATCCTTATTCGTTGTCCGCTTTCAGATACATAGCAAGTGATTGAAAAGACCATAGCCTGAATAAGGCACACCATAGTCTTTAAACTGACACCATTGCTACTTAGCATTTTGGAGATGTCCCTCATGGCAGACTTTCCCAATGATTTCTTAACTACTAGTACCAAGGGTGTTAGTTACCAAAGGTCCAAGTCAGATAAAATTATTGACAATTTCAATCTTTTCTCTGTCTGTCATGATATTGCTTATTGGCCCTTTACCATGCCAGTCATGGTAGCAAAGATTTTCTATACTCGTTCATGCTTAAATCCTATAAACCTTCTGTAAGGCAGGCATTGTTATTCCTATTTTACAGATGAGAGAAAGGGTAAGTAAATTGAGGACTCTATGCAGGCCTCTACATCACACCACTAATGGCAAAAAGCCATAAGTGTGTTGAGTAGAGTGACCATAACCTACGGGAGCTTTAGTGGATTAATCCATAGGGAATTGTGCTGTTAACCCAAAGGCGGTCTGCAATCCCAACCCACCAGTGGCTCTGATGGAAATGAGCAATCTCCTGCTTCAGGGTTACCAGTGAATTGTTTCCAATTTGATAGCGATGAAAGAAGAGCCCTTTTCTGCAATTCCCTTAGGGAGATGCTTTAGAGAAAAAGAATTGTAAAAAATGTAGAGAATACAAAGTCCAGAAAGAAGGAGAAAAATCCACTTTCTCCTCACACTCACCTATGCACCAAGTATCTGTGGGGAGATCCCTTTAAACTAAGATGGCTTTTGTGACTAGTTGTAAGGAGTTGTGTAGCCAACCAAAGACATGTGGTTTGAATCCAGCAGCTGCTCTTTGGGAGAAAGACAGGCAGTCTCCTCCCATGCAATTTACTGCCTCTAAAAACCTGCTGGAAGGTTAGCTGCCAATATCTGTCAATGGTATATAACAACAAACAACAAAACCTTAAGCTAAGGGCCATGGCAGGTTTCACATCACCAAGTAGGGAAGAGCCTGATTAATAGGTTTGACCACAAAACTCTGAGAGGACTCCCCTCCACAGCATGAAATGCTTTCCTGAAAGACTTTTCATTCAGATTGTCACTAAGTCTGAAATGCTATTACCAAACATAGTCTTTCAGGATTATTGTCTGTGGGTGAAAGAATGGGATGTTGGAAAAGATGTTATAAGGGCATGAAGAAAGAGTAGTTTTATGTATGGTAGGTGTTGGTAGAAGTGAGGTAAAGTAGGAAAACTTAATTTTTAATTTTAAGTTCCAAGTCATTAAACTCCCAATTGCTGGGGAGTTAATTCTGATCTCATGTATGTCAAAGTAGAGTTTTGCTCCATAAAGTTTTCAATGTCCGATCCCCCCCTACCACCACAAGCTGATCACCAGGTCTTTATCTGATGTACCTCTGGGTGGTTTTGAACTTCCAACCTTTTGGCTAATAGCCAAGCTTGTTAACACCATTTCCACCATATAGGGAATCCAACGTATCAAGCACTGTTCTAAGTACTTTATCAATGTTAACTCATTTGAACCTCACCATAACTTCAACAGGTAGTTTCTATTAGGATTCCACTTTATCGTGAGGAATTCATAGTGAAGAAAGCTGATGTAGTTACTCTGGGTCACAGAATGAGTTGGTGGAGAGTTAGACTTGAAATCCAGCAGAGTGTCCTCATATTTCTAGACTTTCTTATTGAGAGAGTTACTTAGAGCTTGTAAAAATCACACATTCCTCACCTCAGACCAGATCTTCTGAAACCAGGGAAGATGCCTGGGAATCAGTAGGTAAATGAATGTCCTATGGGTGGTGTTAAATTTTAAAAGTGTGCTGTGCTATACTGCTCCAGGTCAGAGCGAGGAGGTTGGCTTGCAGGAGTGGAAGATTCATAAAGGAAGGGGGAAGGAGCCACAAAGCCTCCTCTATCCACTAGATGAGATAGCTGACTTGTGGATCACATCATTTTCTTATGTGCTATAAAAAGAACAAACACTGATAACCACACTATAGCCTGACAATGCTTGTCACACTAAGGATAAGACAATTCTATTTCAGGGTTGTTGAAAGCAAAGAGATGAATCTCCCTTAGAAGCAATGACTTCACTTGAGGGTAGGATGTGCTGAGGGAGAGAAGCAGCAGGAGGTCTGGAAGGCCTGTTGTGGTTAAGAACCCTCCCTGCACTGAGAAACTCACTCAATGTTTGCCTCTGTCCCTAATGACTGATCCCAGGAGCACGTCTCCATGCAACCTAAGTTTTTTTCACTCATGTCCTACAAGAAGGGTAATAGGATAAGCTGTACCTCTCAGGCTGCTGACACAAGGTGAAGAGAGATGACAAGATGAAGGTGGTCTGGGGGTGGTCTGGTGGAGGTAGCAGGCTAAGCTCAACAGTCATCCTCATCTGCACCTTTTCTTGCCCTCTTAGCCACAGGCCTGATGATTGGTTGCCTGGTCTACCCAGATGGTTGGGACTCAAGTGAAGTACGGCGCATGTGCGGGGAGCAGACCGGCAAGTACACCCTAGGCCACTGCACCATCCGCTGGGCCTTCATGCTGGCCATCCTCAGCATTGGCGACGCCCTCATCCTCTCCTTTCTGGCGTTTGTGCTGGGCTACCGGCAGGACAAACTCCTCCCTGACGACTACAAGGCAGATGGAAACGGTAATCTACTCCCTAATGTGCAATGGTCCTGGGGTGGGAAATGGGAGTTCTTCTTAGCTAGGACGTGGAAATATGGGCCCTGGTCAAAGGATGGGGGACACAAAAACTCAGAGACAGACCCTTTCCTCCCAGAACCTAAGCCAAAGAAGTTTTCCAGGAAGCAAACAGTAGGGTGTGGCAGGCTCTGTAACAGCAGAGGCTCTCTGTAGTCGAAGCTGATCTGGCTGTGCTATTGAGTCTACAGGACAGAGTCTTACTCAAGCCGGAGAGCCAAGAGAGGGCTTGCCTATAAGGTGGCACTGGGATTACGTTTTGAAGTAAACATGGGCATTTGCTAGGCAGAGGAGGACCAAGGGAGGGGAGAGGGGATGGGTGGGTTGTAAGGAACAAGGAGAAAGGCAGGTTATGTGGGGTACTCTGAGATAAACCAGCAAAGGTGTAGAGGTGACAGCTCTGAAGTGCAGGTGAGGGATCCCAGGCTCCCCTAGGTTTAGACAGTCTTAGTATTCTCAGAATACCTGCCCTGTTTCAATCCCCTCTCATCCAAATCCTACCCACCTGTCAGAGAGTTCAACTGTAACTAACTTTTGAGGCCCTAGTGGACACTCCCTAGAAACTGTCCCTGTCTCTTCCCATGGACATCCCTTCATCCTTGGGTGCTTCCTGCTTTATCATTTGGCCCTTCATCTCTCTACTTTGAAGGGCTAAAGTTCTCAGAGGGTGAATTTTATATTTTAATCAGAAGGAATGGTCTTTGTCACATCACTGTATATCCTAAAAATTGCTCCTCTTTTTGGGTGTCCACTAGCAAGCCCTGGTAGTGCCTCTCTGACCTCTTTTCTCTGAAGTAGTCTTCACATCAGCCCCTAGACCTACATTAGAAGCAGCACCCCACTCTCACTTCCACCTCTGTTACTTGTTATTCCAAACCAAAGATTGAAGTCTTTGTCCTGACACTCAGATTTTCTGCTCACTCCAGGGCCCATTTTTTCCATAGAGAACAATCAGTACCTTCTCACCCTTTTTTGAGGGCAGAGAGACCTCCATACCTAAGTTATTTGGTTAAAGATGAAAAATCAATTACTAGAAAGAACTGAGTCAAGGAGAAGATAAGAAGGCCATGTGTTTCCATTGTTGTATGATTGATTCCTATAGGTAGGAGGATTCTAAGGGATGGGTCCCTTGAGTACCCTGTGAAAGAAAGCAAAATGGAACTAGTATTTGAAGTTTCTTCTTCAAGGAAGACTGTTGTGAAATTTGTTTCACAACATTTTTATTTAATCCTCCCAGCACCCCTGTGATGAAAGATCAGAGTTGGGGATTCCACCAGCAGTAAGTACAAATAGCTTCCTCCTCAGTGATGGAGGTTCTTCCAGAGGGTTTGGTAGGAACAGCCGGAGCTGTAGGCTTCCAGGCCTAAAGGATTCCTTTAAATATACCTGGACATATTCACAAAGCATTTTTATACTACCTGTTTCACACACTCAATATCCCCAAGCAAAAAACACTTCCTTTCTCCCTCCCTGCTACCTTTGTTAAATACTACTAAGCTTTGGTTGCTATGCATTTATTTTTATCATATATAACCTTTGGTTTACAAAGGTTTCTGTTCCAGTTAAAACTTTTACCATCTGCATCCATAAACAAAGGTCAGTCAAGAACAAACCATCACGTTGCAGCCATTAACACTAGACCACAGCCTGGAACATCTTCTTGGGTTCTGGTCAACTCATCTCAAGCCATCTAAGGTTAAGTCCAAGTGGGCATCAGCTGCCAACTCAGGAGTCCACACTTCTTCCTGTGTTCCAAACGGATAGGTCCCTTCATCCAGTCTTAACCCCAACATGGAGCCAAGTCAACAAGAAGGCAGTCCTCATGACTCCCTGTTTCTCAAAGTCAGCAACTCTTTTGTGCTTATCCATATGCATGCTAGGTCAGTAGGTCAACAGTGCTGATGGAACATGTCCAAACTCAGTCCATTCCTTTATTGCTGCATGTCTCCGAACTCCACTCTGGTGGATCCAAGTGGTCGTCGCCATGAGTGATCATACTCACCAGCGTCCTTTAACTTCAAGTCCTGGAAAGGGGCATTACTCTGCCTCAGAAGCCAAACTACTTGTCCCAGATTTTAAAGGTCAAAGTCTCCTTTCTCCCCCGCCCCTTCCAGATGTACATCTCCTCTGAAGTCCAAGGAAGATCTATGCAAATGCAAATCTCTTCAGAGGGCTTGTTTAGTTGCTGTTAGGTGCCATCCAGGCCACCTCAGAGTACTAGGTGGGGCTTAATCCTCCCCCCAAGCTAAATTCCATGCATCTACTGCTTTCAGAAAGCATTTCTCCAGGGCAAATTTCGCCAGTTTATTATATCAAATTAGCTTCAGGACAGATAACACACTTTCAAGATTTACAATATCTAGGAAGCAGGAGGAGCGGCATCCACTCCCTAAATAACATGCCCCTGGAAACTATGAACTTTGATAAATGTCAATAGTTGTAGAGGGGCTTCAGGCCTTTTGTTCACAGGGTCGCTATGAGTCATGCTCAACTTGAAGGCAATCAACAACAACAACATGGAGCATAGGTGGCTTCCTGTCAAGAAGCTACAATGCAATCTTGAAGGCACAGGGTTTGAATCCACCAGATGCTCCACAAAAGGATAGGCACTCTTTTTTTGTGCAAACAGTACACAACAACAATGACAATGTTTGGGTGTTATGTATTTTATATACGTGAAATCATACAGTGCTTGTTCTTTTGCAACTGATGTCCTTCACGCCAGCATGGTGTTTCCCAGGTCCATCTATGCTGCAGCATGCACCAGGACTTATTCTTTGTTGCAGCTGTTAAGTGCTCATGACTCAGTTCCTAGTCATAATGGCCCTGTGTACTAAAGAATGAAATACTGCCCAGTCCCATGCCCTCTTCACAATCTTTGCTATGTTTAAGCCAATTGTTGCAGCCACTATTGTCAACCCAATTTATTGAAGATTTTCTTTTTTTGCTGATCTTCTATTTTATCAAGCATGATACCATTGGTGTGGAATTCCATTGTGTGTATATAACACAGTTTGTTTATCCACTTATTTGTTGGTGGACATATTGTTTCCACAAGTTAATGGACTTGTGACAAGGCTGTCAAGACTATTTAATGGGGAAACAATAGTGTTTCTAACAAATGATGCTGGAAAAAAAGACATTCACAAGCAAAAGAATGACTTTGGACCCCTATTTTACATAATGTAGAAAGTTAAAACAGATCAAAGACACAAGTATTAAAACAGAAATTCTTCAAGAAACCTTTAGTGTAAATTTTGAGATCTTGGCTCAGTTTCTAAGATATGGCATCTAAACTGAACAAAGGAAAAAGAAATGTAATTTCATAAAGTTGAAAGTGTTGGTGCTTTGCAGTGTTTGTGTCTATCAATTAAGTGAAAAGACAACTCAGAATGATAGAAATTTCTTGCATATCTCTTACCTGGTGTCTGGCTGTGAGGACTCTTGTCATGTTGAGGTATAATTTACACTGAAAGTAGTAATGTAAAGGAAAAAGATTGAATTTGTTAAGGATTTAATTTTACTTTGATCCACATGAAATGCCTATGAATGCAGTGATCTTTTTTTAATTTTTTTATTTCATTGAATTATTTTTATTCATACTATATTCATATCATGTTTAATACAATTATTCTTATTGTGTTTTATAAAATTCATCATCATTGGAACTTGCCCATTGTTACCCTGTCTTTTTGCCCAGATCTTTGTCATCTCCTTCCTTGTTGCCTCCACTCACCAAACTGTGCAACCCCATGGTTTCGCTCCACCCATTTTGTGCCTTTCCCCCCTTGAGTTCCTATAAATGCTTTAATGGTTATGCTTCTGATTTTGCAGTAGTGATATTTTTAATTATTATTAAATTTTATTAGTTTTAATGAACATTTACAGAGATTTTGGGTTCTCATTCATTCATTGTTGCACT